GTTGGTGTTTTGCTTTTAACCAAAGCCTTAGTAATTTATCTACCTTTGACAGAAAAGACAGCTTAAGAAAATAACAATTCATATTACATATTTTTTCATCACCATGAGAGCAAGGAATTAAAATAGAGGAATGTAGTAACAGCTCAGACTAAGAGGAACAGATTCAGCACTATCTTCTCAAGCTATACCAAACAACCTTCCTCTTCTTTGCAACATGCATATTTTCAAACATGGTGATTACCATGAACTATTAGTTATTACAGTCCATCTTAGCCAACTGTAATTCTTTCCCCATGCAATTTATTACCCAATTAATGGAATCAAAGACAAATTTTCACGAAGGCTTCCATTCAACCAGAATGGATCAACTCACATTTTTAAACTATTGCATAATATGGAAATTACAATTTTACATATTAATTTTCCTGTTCTGTCAAAACCAACAGAATTATATGAGCAGGTATTATCTTACTTTCATTTTAGACACCTGTACATGTTATGCGATTGCTTTCCTTTGTTGGGTGTGGTGTTTTCTCCTTTGTCCACTCCCCATGGGAGAATTGCAGGCACAATGCTATTGTGTTATTTTAATAAAATGATGTGTACCGTCTATGTATGTACTATGGGCTGTGTGTTTGCATTAACAAAAACAAGGCCAAAGAGGTGTGATCTAACTTTGGGAAATTAAAGTGTTGAGAACTGTGGCAACTCTTGATTCTTGTGGGAATATGTTCTTGAATATTCTGTCCATTCTTGAGGAAGCTGTTTCCTGCACTGATATTTTAACCTTGTGATAGAAACTTCTACTATGCCTTTAAAAAACAGCTTTATTAGCCATAGCCTTCCTCTTGCAGGTGTCGAAAACTATTTCGGTACCCGAGCACCTTGATAATTCATCAGAAACCATTTTAACAGTTTCAGTCATTTTGGTATGTCTGTGGTATCTTTTGTAGCTGAAAAGACTCATTGTAAGTCCTGACATACAGAAAATTAATTTTTTTTTGTTGTTTGGGCTTTTTTTTTAATAATTACGTTTAAATTTATCTTACTTAAATATTTTCATCTGATATTTCTTCGATTCCTCATTTGATAGTTACTTGCTATTAAAATAAATTATCTTCCTCTCTGTTTTGACAGGAAAAGTCTCTATCACCAGTGCAGAAAAGACCCTGATAAATGACAAAACTAAGTCAATCTAGATGTGTGAAATATTTTAAAACATTATTTTAACATGGTGAATTTATATAAATTACTTATACACAAACATAGCTAATTACCCTGTACTCCTTTGAGAAAGCTTGAAACTCTGGGAAACTACAATCTATCTGATTAAAAACAATTTGTTCTCATATTATAACAGTAGCTTACTGACCTAATGAGGATTAGTCTCCCATTTTGTTAGTTCTTGCCCCATAAAGCCTGTAGCATTTTTAAGACAAGCATAAATGATGTGGGCCTAATGATCATAAGGAACTGGAAAGTGATTGTTGATAAAATGTAACAAACTGTACAACTGGATTGTTTTTAATTAGTTGTTTGCACTGGTAAATTTGAAGAAATAAACAGATAGATTTCAGAAGTCCACACATGTAACCCATCTATCCAACATCTCTCCCTAGGCAGTTTCTTACAATGTTATGAAAAGAAAACATACTTTTTTAAAAAAAATCTAAAGTAATGAGTTAACTGTTCTAGGGAAAAAAAAAAAAAATCATGTATTCAGAAGTGGTAGTGTCCACCCCTGAAGACTGAGCGGCTCCCTTCAGCAAGTGACAGGAAGTGCCATAGCCTTTGCCATGATTACCCTTATTGAGCATAGTCAGTAATGTGTGCTTCCTGAATTACTAATGCAGTATCAAACTCATAATAAAAAGCATCATGGTCTGGATTTAGCTACATTTTAACGGATGCTAAGACCATGAGAATAACCTTCCATAAGCCACCTGTAAACAGAAAATAGGAAAACCAATAGGAAGAGCTAGGGTTTTCCCACTTAAAGAGAACTAAATAAAATAAATTTGTGTCTCCTGTTCATTTCCATGACACTTAGAATACACCTTATAGCACCTAAAGGGAAAAAAAAAAAAATCTTTTCAATAAGCCTCTTAAAAACACTGTTTTATCAGAAAGCAATATATGATCTGTTGTGTAATTTTCATGTCAGCTGAAATATAAAGAACATACAGAGCAAATAAGTGAGATACTGTAAAGTTATAAGCAAATACTTGTTTGCATTTGCGTATAGATATAAAGGACATACAAGTCTATCTTTTTGTGAATTTTAACAATAATTAGTCTCCATCAAACTACTAGTGAGAGACTATTAATGCATTACAAAGAAAATCCTCTCAAGGCCTCCCTATTGAGATTAGCTGACAAGAGCTAGAGATGTTTTTTAAAACTAAAGTATATTTTACTTTGGCTTCCTGCTAGTATGGTGCATTGTATAGTCCTCATTTAATAGAAGCATTCAAATTTCATGTTACTTGTCGAGAACAAACACGTTAATTTAGTTACCACCCTCACAAGCTCATCTGAGGTACCAATGAACTGATCCGCTGAAAACAATAACTAACTAAAGATTATGAGCTGCAGGTTCATCACCAAGAAAGCTGAACATCAAGCTGAAAACCAAGAAAATGCATTTCTGAAATGAATATAAACACCCTCCTATGGATAGTAAATCCAACATATAACTTAATAACTCAAAATACTTCAGGGGTAGCAACAAGCCTCAAGGCAACCAAATTACTCTATTTGGAAATTATATTATTCTTATAATAGAAATTCTACTTTTTAACAGAAAACATGGTAGGAATCATTATTCATAACTGATATCTCTCAAAGGAAACGGGGCTAAGTACTAATGTCCCACCGAGCTGGCATTCCATTCCCCAGAAAATGCTCTTTTCGATGCTGGGGGAAAAACAGTGTTCAGCCCCCACAGCAATATCATAAGCTATCAGTGCTAACCAGTCATCAATGCAAAATCAAGAATAAGATAAAGAGAACAGAATATTTTTTGTAAGAAATGAAAACCACATTTAATTCTGAGAGCTTGTTTTCATTTTAGTAGTTCTGTTCTTTTCCTAGGTATTTGTTTCATTTAAAATACATTGCTAACTTCATTAGAGAAGGCAAGCCGTGAAGCTCAGCGTAAAGTAAATAAAACATGCATAATAATAATAAAGAATTGCTAGAGTCTTCATCCTATTTATAAGGTCACTTGCGTTCAAAAGACACCTGCTGCAAATGCCTTTGATTAAAAAAAAAAATGCAGTCAGCAAGGGTGTCATTCATCCTCACTAATGTCCATATGTCCACACCTAAAAAAAACATTAAACAACAAACAACTGGACGAGAAAGTCATTACCAAGTTCAAATTTTCCTTTTACTTTGAACCTGATTAACATAAGTTTTAGAAATAAAGAATTAAACATCATAGTACTCCAGAGGTCAGATTTTCAAAGCTCACTGCCCAGTAGCTCCCACTACAAACAACAGAAAATCAGTTCACTTCAAATTAAGAACATCAGGACTTGCAAGAGGCCAAACTTTTAAAATCTTAGCTAGAACATAAGTCATATTTATAAAAGAGTAAGAAAAAACACACAATGCAGCATATGTTACTAATCACTAATAATTATTTTGGGTAAGTTGAACATTAAATGGTTTTCCAGATCCAGGATCTTCTTTACCCCTCTTCCTTGAAGTATTTTTGTTTCCAGCTGGCAAATTTCAACTAGAGAGAACAGTCCCAAATTATTACATTCCTAAAACACAAGTCAAGCAATGAAGAGGGATCATCTCAGTGCTGCCACACCAAGGAAAGTCATCTCTGATTTCAACCCCAACTGAAATACACCAGAAAATATAGAGAATGGAGACACTGTGAATGCCTCAACCGCACAAACAGCTCTCAGAAGAACAGAACAGAAAATCAAATTAGAGGACATAAATCTATTGGAAATGCAGTTTCAGACATTGCTGCTCATGGACTTACACATTGAAATTAACTCAGTTCAGGATTCTTTTTTCTCCTAACTTTTGTATTTAAGCAAAAGACAGTCAATCTCACATTAAGGGAACATAAGGTACTACACTTACATTCTATGCGAGATACTCCATAATCATAAAAGATAGCATTTTGATAATTGTGGGAAGCAATGTCCTTTATCATCACCTAAAACACGGGTTCATATGCTTTTCATCAGTCTTCCATACTTCCTTGCAGAGGCAGTTGCTACTGAAAAGGAGTAGTTCACCCTCCATGGGTCTACTCATTCCATGGCATCCTTAACAAGGGCTAGCGTGAATACCAAGTGTGACAGTGATTTTTGTGAGATAAGTTTCAGCCCTCTTGGAACTAGAACAAAACTATCAGTCTGGCTAAGAGAGGACGAAGAGCCATCTGACAGTAAGTTACTAGTCTAGTTAACAAATGAATCAGCAACCCTCTGGTGAAAATCTAGGAAAGCTTTCTGTAGCATCTACCTGATGTTTAGTATTACTAATATCTCCTGCTGTAATTAGTTGAAATGACTCTCTTACAGCTGCTTACACAATCTGCCTAACTGTGACAACAAAGAATTTGTCTTATTGAGACTTCACAAGCTAAACAATAACTAAAAGAAGCAATACTTCCTACTATGCCAAATGCATTTAATGCACTTTTTCATCTGTCAGACTGGAATGTCATCTTAAAAACGGGAAAGTAAAGAAAAAGATGTATTAAACTATAAGCAGTACAATAAAAATAACACCCCAAAAGAGGTTATGTTTTAGTATATTTTGATATTGGCTCATTTTTAAGGGACATCAAAAAAACTGGCAGAAGAAAGAGTGAAGAGTATTCCATGATACATTAGTGTCTTTATCCATTTGTTTTGTCTGGCTTCTGTGTTGTAACACATTGTAGGAGCTGGAAAAAAAATATACAACTCTTATAAAAGTAATATTTACCCAAGAGAAAAATATTGCTCTTGTTCTGGTTCACCTACTTCCATTTTTATGTTGTAGCTCTCGCCAAGAACACTCTCCAGGAGTTCTTTGATCGTCTGGTCTGAGGGAGATGGAGAAGTAGACTGCAGGGAAGCAATTATTTCATCAATAGACCTTGCAACCACTTTCACAGGCAATGCTGGTGTGGAAGTAGGCTCTTCAGGTTTGCTCTGCTGGAAGTTCTTCTCGTATATTTTTGAAGTGTCTGGTCTAGTCACATCTCTTGCCTCTTCCAACTGTTCTCGAGCAGACCTCACACTTGGCTGCTTGCTTCCTTTTCTCAGCACTCTTCCCGATTCAACATCTAAATCTTGTTGCTTTGCTTTTGAAATCACTCCGCTTCTCTTCTTACAGCTTTCCCTGGTTATTTTTCCCTTTCTTGAAATGTTTTTACTTGTATCAGAATCTGTAGAGCTAAATTCATCACTACCTTTAATCACAGTATCTATTTCTTCAGTTTTATCTCTTTTTATATTCTGGGGATCCATCTGTAGCATACACACTCTATCCTTTATTTTACTAACAGCTTTTGTCTTGTCTAATGAGATAGGGGAGCTATTAACATGAAAATTAGACCTGCAGTAACTTGGCTTCTGAGGTGGTGCTGGGTGCTTGACCATTACAATTTTTTTAGTGGTACCTGCAAATGATGCTATTACTGGCAGTTTTACAGCTGTACGTTCATGACTACAAGTGGCATTTTCTCTGTTAACTTTTTCAGAGCAACTTCTATGATTTTTGTCAGCACTGTCTTCTTCCACAGATTTATTTCCTTGAGTCATCACCCTGAGATCAGGAGCTTGTTTCTTCATGTCTCTTACTTCAGAGGATATCCTTACTTTCTGTGAACATCAGAGCACCCAATGAATTAATTAGGAATATTTTTATTTATATTCATGACATGCTTATGTGGACTCTTTGACCTCTGGAGAGGATAATGTTCTTAACTGATACAATTGATCTGATGTTAAATCTTCCAGTAAGGGGTAAATGCTCACGTTTCTAGGAGCAGTAACTATTGCTTGTTTGATCTTCAGACTATCCCACTGAGATTCCCTGCATATAGTCTCATGTTCCTTAATCATGTTCAGCTCTTCCACATAACTCAGCCCAGAGCACTCATGTTTTCTAGTGATTTTCTTCCACTGTATGCAGCCTGTAAATTCAAACAGAAATGAGTTTTTGTACTTTATATCCCAACACAGAACCCAATCTTGCAAAGACTGCTTCATTTTGCTAAGGGCCCCATTGATCTTAACAGGACTGTTCTGAACGGGTATAATTAAGCACCAGCAATGCCTATTAGCATTTCACCTGAGGAAACAAATGAACCATTTCTAACTCTGGGAGCATAAACTGGGAGATGGACAGAAACTCCCAAGAGAGAAAAAAAAAAATGAGAAACACGTTCTTGAAGTAACCACAAAAAGCTTTCCACCTACAAAAACCAGCGACGCCTCCAAGCCCCACTTCTCCCCCTCGAGCAGGGAAAGGGCCTCCTCCCCCCAGAAAAGTACCTGACAGCCCCCCGCGCCCACAGCCG